TATCATCATTCATGGGGCCATTGTGAGAGTGGTCGCAGTTGCCTTCAAACTCTGCAAACTGTCCGAAGAGTGACTAATGTGATGTTTGTGCACATCTACCCCCAGAAAAACCCATTAATCTGGTTGTGCTAGGACTCTTTGGGATCATCACAGTCATTTATTTTGGGACAAGTTCATTTCTTGGAATGAGAATTATAGCTTTTGGTCTTAGTTGGTGTTAACTGGGATAAGTATATCCACAAAACTCTTTTTTTCCTATCTCTATGTTTTAAAAAAGTTTGCCTTTTATTTTATCACTGATTCCTGAAAATATAGTAAGATTTCTTTCTTTTTATATTTTATCAGCTAAACTATTTGGTGTATTACAAACAACTAATATGTGGTACATAGTAATTCACTGAGGAAGAAAAAATTAAGTCATAATGCATTTCCTGGAGCCAAAGAATACCCCTTTATCTTTACTCTCAGAGGCCATTTGGGATACAAAATTAGAACAAAACTGAGACATGTTGGTACATCTTTGTGCTTTAGTTGCCAAGTACAAGAGGTGAAATAAGGGCCGAGATGTAGCTCAGTGGCTCTGCACCTGCCTCACAAGCACAAGGTCCTGAGTTTGATCTCTGGTACCAAACACAGAGGTGAAATAAGTCTCTGATAAATATCTTCAGGGGTACACAATCATGTTGGACAACCCGAAAAGTACCACCCTGGTTGGAAAGAACACAGTGATTTAGAGACTCATTTTTCTTTGTGGCTGCTCATACTTGCTGGGTAGATCAATTGGCTGGAGCATTAAGCACCAAATGCTCCACAGGAGAGAACAAGCCCCAAGTACTCTAGGAGTAAGAATGATCAGCATGTACCAAGGAAGTGAGAGTCCAGAGGTGAGCCCTGGGGGCTGGGGATTTAGCTCAGTGGTTTCGCTGCCTGCTGTGCAGCACAAGGACTCCAGTTCGATCCCCGGTACCAAAAAAAAAAAAAAAACATGCAAAAAAGAGTATTATAATTGTGGCGCACTCTAAGTGTTTACAATAATAAAAATTACAAATTAAACATTTTTATCCCACTAGTGTTTCTCTGGGGTTGTTTCACCTCATTGGAGATTTTTGACAACAGGTGAGACCCTCAGTGAGTGCTAGGCCTCAGCTAAATGCCTTCCTGGGATGCTGCTGCCCACAGTTCGCCACTAACTCAGACCAGACAGTCCAACAAGCAAGACCCATGCTGTTCTTAGAGCCTCCACCTTACCAGTATCTCTTGACAGCCCATGCGCCAAGCAGGCCTTTGAGGGGTTGGTTATGTACATTAAACAGTCTTTAAACATAAGAATTTTCTTGTCTTCTTCCCCTCCTAAAATGTTCCCTCTGCCAAATTTGGCTACCTAAACAATATATCTAATCCACCCTTGAGTTCAAGCCAAGCACCATGTTTTTTATGAAGTCTGTGTGCCCCAATTACTGTACCTAATTTAAGTTAGAACCAGAACTATGCACCGTAGTTTGACTGGGGTTTCTTTATGTCATTTCTGTACCAGTTGGGGGGGTTGGTTCTGAGGGTGTGTAATGCAGTTCTTGGACTTGTCCATGTCTACACTATAACCTGAGACTCCCACTTATTATTCTTCCTTTGTATCAATTGCGTGAGGCCTACACTTTTCTGTGTCACCTCAAGGAGCCCCCAAAGCTTAGCCGTGAGTTCCCCTGCTCTTGCCAGATATGCCTTTCCCTAGTGGAAAGGCTTTTCCATCTGGCTAAGTCCTCAAGTGGCTGAGCCAGATGCATTCCACCTAGTCCTCAACCTAACAGGTTTTACTTTGCTGCCAGAGCATGAAATTACTTAAACCAGTTATGTTCTCCCATGGGAACCAGAGGTCACCCCAACCTTGGTTATAGCAAAACCTGTTTCCTCATAACCTATTCTGGTTCACTGTGAGTGCAACACCATGTGACCTTGCATGGTATCCTAGGCTGTGCACATAAATGACTAATAAACTGCTGTCAGTCTTGTCTGTCTGATGAGCCATCTCACACTACTTAGGGTGGAGAATACCTCCTTCAACAATGAGATCGGTCAGGTGTGGTGGCACACACTTATAATCCCAGCACTTGGGAGGCAGAGGCCAGAGGATAGCCCTGAGTTCAAGGCCAGCCTGGGCTACATAGTGATTTAAGATGAGCCTGGAATACACAATGGGAGCCTGTCTCAAACCACACCCCCCAAAAAATGAGGTGAATAGGAAGTTCTCAGAACAGTAACACAGAGCTGTTACTTAACAAATTTGCTTTGCTTGCATTATCCTTATGCCTAACCAGTTAGGAAACCAAAAATGAAATAAATATTTGCTGCAGGTGACTATAGATTTACTTTCCTACAAAGAATTCTTCAGAATCATACAGCAATAACTGCTATTTACATAAAATATATGTCAAGCAATCTTTTCTTTACTTTGCCCATACTGTGAAGCAATGAAAGCAACACTGCTTTGGGCAGGGCCAGGGATGTAGCTCAGTGGCACCTGGCTGGCAAGCACAAGGTCCTGAGTTCAATCCCCAATACCAAAAAACAAAAACAAAAACAAAAATTTCCTTGGATAAATCTGCTGTTTATATAGTACCGATCTACGTTTTACACTGTATTCCTAATCACTAATAAACTGTAACACTGCCCAATTGTGAAAACACAATTCTAGTGTTAGTCAATATTGACTAAAAACTACTACTAAGAGTACTTGAGAACTGGGACTTTTCCCATGCAAGAAATTACTTAATCTGTTTCATTGCGTCAGGTATCTCATTTCTTTGTAAGCAAGAATGGTAACACTTGAAGTCATTAAAAATCAAAGACTCTTCCCAGAATCTGCAATTAGTATTAAACTTATTAGAACTTCAGGGAGAGTTTCATTTGCTTTCTCTGTTATTTTATCTCTTAGTTTCCCAAGGTCGAAGGGAGGAGGAGGGGGCATGTGTTTTCACTTCAGGGGCTCCCTGCTTCTAAAGCAGCCAGCAGCTTGTCCAGTCTCCAAGTCGCACTCATTCTTGACAGGCCTCCTCTCCTCTGAACACTCCACCATTCTCTTCTGATAAGCACTGGTTGGGGTGGGGATCAGGGCTCCAAAAGAGAAATAGGATCAAGAAGGCTGATGAAAGCTTGGATTCACTCTCTTACCATTCCTAGACCACACTAGGAACATAATGACTCGCTTTTCAGCCTCCCCTGCACAAAGTTGCAGGAGACAAAAGTTAGTGGAAAATGGTCATTAAATGATTCCAGAAAGTGTTTGACTGTAAGCCAAATGTAAGGGCCCTTCTCTGAATGGCTATCCGGCGCCTGGGTCAGACTGCACCCAGCCTCTCCGCTGCTTCTCCCAGAATGAATGGTGTGCATGAAACACTCATAATGCTGGGATGCTGGTCATGTAATAATTATTAGGCTATTAGCAGAGGCCAGGGTATATGCTCAGATGTCAGGGTACTGGGGATGAGACTCTTCTTCAGTTAGTGGGGCTAGCTTGGCCAGGTCAGGGCTGTGTGTGCTGAGTAGCTCTGGGGACTCCGTGTGCAGATGATTGGTTGTGCACTGCTGGGACTTAAGTTCCAAAGCTGGGCTCTTCCTGCTTTTGTGGCCAAGGGCCTCTGCTTTCAAAACAGCCACAAGAGGATGTGCTTTGTTCCCCTGCAAAGCTGGAAGAAAGTTCAAAATAAAAGAACTTTCCCTCCCCAACCCTCAAGGGAAGGGACAGTCAGGGGGCCAAGCCGTGAGGAAAAGCAGGAATGCTTTTTATTGGGAGGGACCTGGGCACAGTTGAGGGGAGCCCCCAGGGCAACTACCAGTTCTGTTTTCAAGTCCAGACTTTGCTCACTGATTGTGGCTTGGTGGGCCACAAAAAATAACCACATTAGCCTTCTGATATGAAGGCCTTTCTCCGTATTGAATATATAAACTTCTCCGTTTTATTAAAAAATTTTAAGAAAAAAAAGCAAAGAGGAAAATATTTTCCATATTCTAGCTAGTTTTAATACCTTTATGTATACCCTTCCAATAATTGCATATATGCATATAGACATATATGTTTTAAAACCAGAGTATAACAGAGTTGTATAATCTGCTTTTTAAATAAATCTAAGAGCCAGATGCAGTGACACATGCCTGTAAATCACAGTTAGTCATGAGACTGAGGCAAGAGTTCAGCCCCCACAAGTTCAAAGCCAGACTGGGCACCATCATGATACTTCATTTCAAAAAAGATTTTTATTGAGATAGAAAATGTAACATTAAATTTACCAACAGTAACTACTGTGCACAGTAGAGTAATATTAAGTATGTTTATATCGCTGTATAACAGATCTTTAGTACTTTTTCATATTATACAGCTGAAACACTATGCACACTAAGCACTACTTTCTCCCCCTACCTTTTCAACTTTCATTTTCTATGATTTTGACCACTTTAGATACTTCATATAAGTTCAGTCATGTGGTATTTGTTTATTTGTAACTGGTTTATTTCTCTTAATATAATATCCTTAAGGTTTATTATCCATTTTGTCGCATGTGATAAAATTTTATTTTTTTAAGGCAGCTTAATGTTGCCTTATATAACACATTTTCTTTCCTATTAATCTGTCAGTGGCCCATTGGGTTGCTTTCACCTCTGAGTTATTATGAGTAATTACAATAGGTATGCAAATAATCTCTTTGAGACCTTACTTTGCATTCTTTTACATTTATATGCAGAAGTGAGATGCTGGATCATATGGAAGTTCTGCTTCTCATTTTTTAAGGAACTCTCATATTGTTTTCCATAATAGCCACACACACACACAGTTCCTCTCATTGTGATGAATAAGAAAGCACAACTGAGCCAGGCATGGTGCCACATGCATGTAATCCTAGCACTTGGGAGGCCGAGCAGGAGGATTGCATGTTCAGGCCATCCTGGGCTACACAGTGAGCTCAAGATCGGCCTGGACTGCTTTCCAGGCTGATAACGCTCCTGCAAGCATGGTGAGTGTTCCTAAAACCCAGAGAACTTTCTTTAAGAAGTGTGGCAAGCACCAACCCCACAAAGTGACACAATACAAGAAAAGCAAGGATTCTCTGTATGCCCAGGGAAAGTGGTGTTATGACAGGAAGCGGAGTGGCTGTGTTGTACAGACTAAGCCAATTTTCTGGGAAAAGGTCAAAACTACAAAGAAGATTGTGCTGAGGCTTGAGTGTGTTGAACCCAACTGCAGGTCTAAGAGAATGCTGGTTACTAAGAGATCCAAGCATTTTGAACTGAGAGGAGATAAGAAGGGAAAGGACTAAGAGATCCAGTTCTGAGCTTCATCTTTTGTTTTATTATGAAGACAAATAAAATCTTGCAGTGTTCAGTTGAAAAAAAAAAAAAAGATCAGCCTGGGCTACATACCACAACCCTGTCTCCAAAAAAAGAAATTTGGATACACAGAGACTCTAGGACAGGGGTGGCTGTTGACCTATGGCACAAGTGCCACAGCAGTCTGTTTGTATGATTGAAAGCTCTAAAAGCTTCTCCTTCACTGCACTAGTAACATAGAGAAAAGGCCGTGTGAGGACACATTAGAAAGAGGCTACTTGTAAGGCAAGGTGAGAGGCCACAGAAGAAATAAACCTGCTGACACCTTATTCTTGGACTTTCATACTTTAGGACCTAGAGAAAATAAGATTTTGCTATTTAAGCCAAGCATTCAGTGGTATTTTGTTATGGTAGCACTTGCAAACTAATACAGCAACACAAAGTTGTGTGTTCTTTATAGGGTACAATACTATATTTATATGTATTCTCTCTATATGATTCCTAAATCTTAAATTAATAGTTACATTATAAAGAATGCTAAATTTCACAACCATACACAGTTAGGCATCCAGAAGAAAGACAGATGTCAGTGTTGTAGATTCAGTGGATTCAGCTGTTTTCAAGGATCCAGATCATTTTTCTTTCTTGTTGTTCTCTGCATCCCAGTGTGGGCTTTCATTTAAGCCTATGTTATGAGAGCAATGGCTGCCACAAGTGATAGGGACCAGATCTTTTCTTTTTCAAAACTAGAAGAAGAGAGAAGAGAAGGCCATCCCACTTCTGTTCACACTTCATTGGACAAAATGCCTCAGACTTGTCCATTCTTAACTCATTAACTTGAAATTGTAGGTGCTATGAAAGGCTGGAAGTGATAATCTGACTGGAAAGGATGGGGTGGGGCATTGAAGGATGTCCACTACAGCTAGGAATAAATCATTTAATTACTGATTGGATATGATTTCTGTGTAATTTTCATGGATACCTGGGAAAGCAATACCATAACCTATAAATATATTTCAAGTATAATAACATTTTTATGAATACTACTGTTAACAATTACTGTATTGAATGAAGTTATATATTTTGTAAACATTTAACTAAATATCTAATTATTTTTTATATCACTGTTTTCTTTGTGCATTTAGAGGCCAGTATTTCTTTCAGGTCTCAAATATTCAGACTCTGCAAAGCTCATAGACTGTAGGCACTGTGTGCAATGAATGAAAAGACCCCAGAGGCAAGACTGGAATATGATGATAATTAAGAAAATCCAAAATTTGATAAACTATTGTGTTCATAGCCCGAAGAAAACTATCTTTAGAGGAGAAACAAAGCCCCTTTGGAGGTTACAAAGGAGAAAGCAAAAACAGTAACAATTTTCATGGTGTATTCAGCACCATCCAGGGAAATACATTTTGACAAAAAAATCAAAGAAGTTGTGGGCAAGCATTATTAGAAATCCCTTTTCCTTACGAATATATCTTTGCACCAATGTGTCTGGCATAAAACAAAAACTAAAGGCAACCACAGCAACATGCAACAGCAACAAACAAAGAACTATATTTTCTTTTCTCTCTTGCATACTGGGATGTCACTCAACACTATACTGCCAATTAGATGCAAGTTGAAAATCTGTTGAAGATTTCTGCAAAACTTTGCTTTCTTATCATAGAAATCCCCCTACTTCCCTGTTATTTCTTTTTTTGTTTTTTTCCTTCCATATCTAGAATTCAAATATATGGCTGGAGGTGAAGCATCCACTTTGTAACTACAAAATGACCTTGAATAGAAAAACCCCACACCAAAGAACCTACAGCTGAGGATGTCAAGGAGTTGCTGCTCCAATCCAGGGCTTCCTGCCTTTGGATACATAAGAAAGAGAAAGATCTACTTGATACCTAATGTGGTTACTGCTGCCTGCAGCTGAGTAGGATCCCTGAATAATGCAGAGAGCCTCACTGATACGGTAGCCTTTAGTTGGACCTAATAATGAACAGCACTTACACAGAATTAGGATGGACAAAGGTACCCAAGCCCAAGGAAACAGCAGCAGAAAGGTGGATGAATAGCATTTATCTTATCTTCGAAATCTGAATTGTTTATTCATGTGCAAAAGGAAATGAGGCTCAAAGGCTAGATTGAGAACAGATTTTAAAGCATCCTACCACAATGAAAATGTAATGCGTGCCAAATATGTAACTCTAAATTTAATGACAACATTGGAAAGGTAAGAAAAAAACAAGTAAAATTAATCATATTTATGCATTTTATTTAACATGATACTTCTACATGTAATCTATTAAAATTAAAATTCTCATTAATCTATTAATTAATTAATTTTAATTTTTTTCATTTGTTTTTTACATGAAGTCTTCAAAATTTGGTGTGTACTGTATACTCTAAGCAAAGATTAGGGGCCAGGGATGTAGTTTAGCGGCACAGCATCTGCCCTAGCAAGCTCAAGGTCCTGAGTTTGACCCTGGTACAAAAAAAAAAGATTAGTCAAGTAGCCACATGTGGCCAGCAACCACCATGGTAGACAGTGCAGTTTAGAGTGTTAAATCTCGTATTCAAAAATTTTGAACTGAAAGTACAGAAGTGTAAACAGAATCATAATTTAATTTCCAACAAAACTTCTAACATATTCTAGACATTAACAATATTGTATAATATTTTGAAATATTATAGGTTTCGGAAACAAATATAGTTGATATCCAAGATGGCACACTTTTGTGGAATAGTTACAGGAATGATCCAAAACCTAAGTTGGGAACATTCATTGAATTCTCATAACATTAAGTTGATTTTTTCCACCATAACATTTTAGGGTTATTTGCAGAAATAGACAGGAGTCAATAAGAACGAAAACAAGATTAGCTACCACAGATAACTATGATCAACTTACTAGCAAATTGTGTTCTTGAATTTTTTTATGCTTTATACAGTTGAAATTCTACTTTTTATACTATTGTTTATTCTTAATGTTATTTTATAAGCATTTTTTCTATTAAAAATTCTTCAAAAATGCTATTGTCAGTGACTACATTAAGCTATCTCTTCATAGGAAATAACTATAATTTTCCTAGTCATTACCTTAATGTAGACTTAGGCTGATTCAAATTTTTACTATTAAAAATAATTTGTCCTGGGCTGGGGATTTAGCTCAGTGTTTTCACCGCCTGCTGCGCGAGTGGAAGGACCCGAATTCAATCCCCGGTACCAAAAAAAAAAGAAGAAAAATAATTTGTCCTAACCATCTTTATATAGAAAACTATTCTTGCAACTTATTTTGTTTTCTTAGGATAGATTCCCAGAGGTAAAAATACTGTGACAAAGGGTATGAGCTCTTCTTAAAATCTTGACATAGACTCGCCAAATGGCTTCCTTGGAAGGTTTGAACCAATTTATACTCTCAGAATTGTGTAAGCATACATAACAGCACACTGTAGCCAGCATTCTATAATAACTTTTTAAAGAAGGCAATGGGAAAGAGAATAAAGATGCTAATTTATATGGAAAATGTATCTCAATGTGCTTTAATTCTATTCGTTGTTTGCTACTCCGAATGAACATCATTTTCTTTTGTCATTTAATAACTGCTTCTCTTACCATTTTCATGCACTATTTATATACATATATACATATATATACATATATATACACATATATATGTATATATATATATACACATATATATATATACACACATATATATGTATATACATATATATATATATATATATTTTTTTTTTTGTACCGAGGATCAAACTCAGGTCCTTGCACTTGCAAGGCAGGCGGCGGAACCACTGAGCTAAATCCCTGGCCCTAGAAAAGCTTTTATTACAAGCATGATAAGCTATTCTTATTAATATATAAATAGCTGGGCCGGGGATTTAGCTCAGTGGTTCCACCGCCTGCCTCCCAAGCACAAGGTCCCGAGTTCAATCCCTGGTACCAAAAAAAAGCTTTTCAATCTTACTTTTAATTATATTCTTTTTTAAAAGTCTGGTTCATTGTGGTACTTCTACATTCCATAAAATTCACCCTTTTAAGTTCTATAAATTTTCATAAATGCATACAATCAGGTAATGGGTACCAATATCAAAATACAATACTCCATCACCTCCAAAAAGTTTTCCTATATCCTTTTATAATCAACCCTTTTCCTACTTCCAGGTCATAGAAACTACACATCTATCTTCTATGATATTGTCTTTTCCAAAACATCATATAAATGGAATCATACAGAATATATCTTTTTGAGTGGGGCTTTTTTTTTCAATTAGAGTAAAGCATTTGAGAAAGTCATGCATGTTATCATGTATATCAGTACTGTGTTTCTTTTTTATTGCTGAGTAGTGTTCTATTACATAGAATTATACTTTTTGTTTATTTGTATACCAAAAGTTAAAGGATATTTTAGTAATTTATAATTTTTTCAATGGTGAAGCCATTATAAACATTCATATACAAGTATTCAAACAAAAATTTTCATTTCTCTTATGTAAATACTGATAGGTCTCCCACTACGTCAGCAGCTATTATGTATAGTAGCTGCCCTCTTCCTATGGTGCCTTGCCCCCTCCCCTGTGTGACGTCATGCCAAGATGGTTGCTCCCACCAAAGAACAAACCCTTCTTCCCAGCATGCCCCTGGTCCCACCTAGAGAGTAACGTAATACTAGCTCACCTCCTACCACCTAGTGACGTCACCGGCTCCTCCATTCCCTAGTCACTACCTCACTCAACCCCACCTCAGCCCCTACAAGCCACACCCCAGTCTCTCCAAAAGACTCTCCCGCCCCGGCCGTATTGCTTTTTGTCTCTCCTTTGTTCAGAGACAGCCCAGCAGATCTGTTCCTTAATAAAGGCTTGTTGTGCCCTGGTCTGGTCTTGGTTTTCGGCCCTTTTACCTGACAAATACCTAGAAGTGCTACAGTTTATATCTCAAAATTCCTCTGTATTAAGGCACAGTCCAGGGAAGATTGGTA